CATCGGCAGGCGGACTCTCAATCACTGCGCCACCGGGGAAGCCCCACCTTGTTATATTGAAGTATGTCCCACATGAAGTATTATTTTGAAGTAAATTCCCTCTTATTATCTTGAGTAAATATTTCGGTACATTTAAAATAATGACTTCAATCAGTCATGACTGTTAGAAATCATACATCAAAAAAGTAACAATAATTTTTTAAGTTAATCAAATAATCAAATATCCAGTCAGTGTTCAAATTCGTAATGATTTCTCAAATGTCATAAAAGTTTTAAAAATTTTGTTTGAATCAGGTTTATATAAAGTCAGTGCTTTGTAATTGGTTGGTGTCTTCTAGGTCGGCTAGCGTCTAGGTTCCCCTCCAACTGTTTTTTTTTCTCTCTGCAGTTAATTTCTCGAAGACATAAGGTTGTTTGTCTTGTAGACTTTGGGTAGCCTGGATTTTGCTGAGTGCCTCCCACTGGTCTCATTTAACATGTTCTTCTGCCCTCTATATTTCCTATAAGTTGAATTTATTTACTAATTTAAACACCTCCCCAAAGGCCTTCTTTAAAATGTTGCCCAGTCATTTCTCTATAAAGGCCTCGCATGCGGCTCTGCCCTAGGTATTTACACTGAAGAAAGCATTTTCACCCACTCATTAGCTCCAGGGCCCTGGGAGGCAGCAGTTTAGGAACTCATCTGCTCTGTTCTAGATTGATTCTGAGACGGTTCGAGTGAACACTGTGTGGCAGGCCATGTTCTGGCTGTGGAGGTGGACATGTTAGCGATGCAGACGTGCATCTTGCCCTCAGGGGGCTGATATTTTAGATGGGGAGAAGCAAATAGCTACAGGTTAATCACAGCTTTCATCTCTTATCTACAATTTCAGCAACCCCCCCTCCCGTTCTATTTTTTTAGTTTTCTCATTTGGTGTGAATGTGTCCACGGGTCACTGCAGAAATATGAATGTGCTTGATTACGGTGTGCAGCCCCATACACGTTGTGTGTGTTATGTGAAATATATAGCATATATGCCAT